ACTGCACCTGGAGAATTCTGGCACGTTTGCTATCTCGCCGTCTTGACACGGTCCGAGAGAGCATTGTTAGTTACCCCTTGCATCCACATGGATTTTCCTTATTTATTTTAAAAGATGTGTTTATTTAAGCAGGGGGAATGCAGCTTTCTGTCCTTTCCCTGAAGCCTTTATGCACCTGGATTGCGGGTAACTGTTATTCTGTCAGCCTATCAACTTGGTGGCACCTCTGTAATTAATTTTATCTCTTACCTGTCCAGAGCAAACAGCATGGGGAAGAACAAACCAGAAGACAAGCTCCAAGCACTGAGTTAGTATTAAAGACCTTTTGGTATGAATATTTATTTGGATCTTACAGGCTAAGGGTTGGATTTGTCTTTGTCACTGACCGGATGACCGGAGAGGTGACCAGCGATGCTCTCTGTGGCAGAACACGCTGGGTTCCCAAGGGTGCGTTTTGTAGGGAGTTTTTATGGCCATTTTCTTGCAGAATTCACGAAACATTTTTGTCCTGGATTTCCCCATCTGTGTTACCTGATTTAGAAGGTCAGTTTACATAGCTCTTTTTTATATATAGCAGAAAGAGGTGAGGTTCACTGGTCTGTCTCTCACACATGTCAGTGGCTGAATTTCCCTGATTAGATACCATCCTTCATTGCCATTATAGAYGCTTATGGAATTACTTTGCTTCAGGTAAGGAAGTAGATGCAAGTTGTGTTGGCAAGAGCTGAGAAATCTTGGCTTCAGTGTCCTGATGAGTTTTAATCCGTAGTAATTAATTCCCATAGCTTTTGTTTTGCCTGTAATTCCAAGATGACAAGCTTCTTTAGGCCTCAGTACCTAGTTATTTGTGAATATTTCATTTCAGTGCATATCCCTGTGGCAGTGGCAGCTGCAGTTCTCACTGTGTGCTGTCTCTAGGATTCAGAACTTCCAAAGCAACTTGGTGGAAATTTGGGATGGAGCTGGGGTTATACATAGCCCTTGGTTTGCTGCGCAGAGAGAAATTTGCAACAGCCTCGTGTTTTCTTGCAGGAAAGCAGCAATGCAGATGGTGCTAACCTTTCCCTATCTATTTTTAAGTTACATCTTCTCTTCCTGCTTGTGAAAGTCCCTAGTTTGAGTGGTTTAAAATACGGAATTGCATAACATTTGTGCTCCCAGGAATCCCCCGAGGGACTTGCTGTGCGGGTTCGGCCCTCGCGGGGACGGGTCGAGGRGGGCTCTGCAGGGCCCGTCCCTGGAAGGCAGCCGTGCCGCTGTGGGCGCCGTGCCCCCCAGAAACACCCGTGCTGGGGGCCCTGAAGAGTGAGCCCTGCAAAGGGCACGTGCGGCTCTGCTGCTGCCAAGCGTGGATGTGGCCTTTGGAACTAGGGCCTGGCTCCAGCGGAATCGATGCTCTGCAGCAGCCACGGTGCAGCTGGATAAGAACCCTCTGGCTGGGGGAAAGAGAAGTCTTGGAGCTCGGGAAGCCTTGACAGATCTGCAGGGACATTAAAACGAGCTTTAGTTCTCTTCAGATTTTGATTGTAAATGCGTCTTTGGGTATATGCACACACACTAATTACAGGCTTCCCTGTACAGTTCCTCGGGTAACGCCTGCCTTTGTGGATATTGGGTCTTAAAGGTGTTGCTCGTAATAGGAATTACAGCTTTGATGTGACGGGGGTCCTAGTGCAATTACCTGTTTTACTGCTGAGGAGCAGATTGACATCCGACCAGTAAATTTATCCGAGATCTCATCTGAAGTTTYACGTATTCTTTACCATTGAGTTTTAATTGCTCTTATGCAGTTATGTGGTTACCACACTTGTATGTGGTTACTAAACCACACAGAAGTCCTGCATTTTCCATCTATTCTCGTAGTTATTTTCAGGCTTTTCCTCTTGCCTTACTGCGCTTTTGAAATGGGATCCTTCCTTTTCTTCCTGCTCTTCAGCTTTCCGTGGAGCGTTGCCAGCCCCGGGGAGCAGGGTGCCCCGCGCAGCCTTTCCACGCAGCCGCCGTCATCTCTCCTTCTCCGGTTTCTCCCCCCGCCTTCCTTCCCCTCGGCTGTCGTAGCTCCCAGCTTTCCTTATCTGCCCTCTCCCTGGCGCAGCTCTCGGGTGATCGCTCGCGCTCAGGGAACAGCTGTTACGTAAGGGCCGGAGCAGGCTCGGCTCCACTTACAGCCCACCTAAGGTTGGAGTAAACAACACAAAACAACAAAAAAAGCTTCAGCCGGGGCCTTATCTGTGTGATGTTTTTGCTAGGTTATACCTAGGACTTTTAGAGGGAGGCAAGATTGAGGCAGGAAGATTGGACCCGAGTGGCGCTTTGGCTTCCCCCTCGCTCCCGGGTCCAGGGGCAGGAATGCGCTGGGGKGCTGGAAAGGGATTGGGTGTTGGAGGCTCTTTGTGTGTTTGAAGAAGGGCCTCAATATCTGAGTGTGAGGGTTTTGTTGGGCTGCTTTGTTGTTTTCTACCACTTGTTTCTTCGCGCTGCCATGGCCAGAAACCTGTCGGCGCCTCCAGGAGGAGCAGGTGGGATGACGCTTCCCGCAGGGAGTGGGGCCTCGCGCCCGGCTCCGCAGCGGGGCGCGGAGCTGCTGCTCTCCCTGCCCCTCTCCGTGCGGAGCCGGCCCGTGCCCTCCTACCCTGCCGCACGAGGCGCCCGGGCTGAGCTGTGCGGAGCCCGCGGTGCCGCCGGGGGAGGCCGGTGCCGCCCGCGCTGCGGTCGGGCTGCCCCAAGGGAAGCAGCATTAGTGCTCCCCGGGAACGCTGTGTGCYTCTCTGGCTGCCGGGCACTAGTTGAGCCAGGGGAAGAAAAGGCATTTATTAAAAAGAAACCTTTCTGGTTTGCTCGTAACCACCATGTGATTTTTTTTTTTCTCTTAGTCTCACGGAGGCTGTCATGGTGCAAGGATAGGTGCAAGATAAGACTGGTGGAAGATGTACGACTTGGGAAAGGGAAAAAAAGTTTGTCTGGAGGCTTGTCTGAAGCACCTTCCTTTCTCTCYTCTGTCTTCAGTTACAAGCCTTGTCTTATCAGGAAAAACAAGCTAATTAAAAAAATTCCTTTCTCCCTAATTGACCTCTGATTTCATGGGCTAGAAAGGAAGAATAAAATATTGTAAGAAATCTGAGCTGGGTAGGCTGAGCAAAGGGAGCTTGCTGCAGGCTTATGGGGTGTCTTAAWTGGCTCTCACCTTGTGTATTCCTGACCTGCTTTTCCGCTTTCCTTTTCCTTTCACTAATCCCTCCGTTAATACTCTGGAGCTTCCGTGTGGACTCTCAGCATATCCCTTGCTGGGATGAGAGATGAATATGGCTCTGTTAGCTTGCTTTCCTTAATGTTGAATAGGAGGCCCCATCATCTGTGGGTTAGCGGCTTAGATRACTTAAAATGACCTTGGGTGTATTGCCGTGGCTCTCTTTAATGTGCCAGAGATTTAGGAGCTGTGTGCAGAAGGCAGCTTTGCCCCAAAATGAGGATGGATTCGGTACCTGACAACATTACGTGGACAGAATGGGTCTCCAAGGCATTTAGTYAGCTGTTTAAGAAACGGCAGTGATGGAAAAATCGATACTGCTCATCTGCCGTGTGTTAAAAATCTGGCTAATGAACAGGCTTCCATGCAGCTGGGAATGAGGCCGTGGCACCACAGCACGCACCTTCCTGTCGGGTATTTGGTGCGACCGCTGCTTGAGCGGCCGGTTCCGCACTCGGGCGGTGACCAGGTCGCTGCCGAGAGGGTCCGCAGCCGTGGGGCGCCGGGGGCAGCCGTGGGGCAGCTGTGGGGCAGCCTGCGCTCTCAGGGGGCACCCAGGGTTGCGGGTAACCCTGCGGCTGGGCAGTCGAGGGTGTCGCRTCCGCCTGCAGTATCGACGGGCAGGGCGCTGAAGGAAGGGAGGGAATAGAAGAACGGGAGACTGATCAAGGAGCAGGAAAACAGGCCGCTCCTAGGAGATGTAAATGGGCCAGGCTGCTTAGCTTGAGGTTTATTGATTCCCTGCTGTAACTATATATAGGTTGCAAAGTGTTCGTGGTGCAAGGCTCCTAATATAGTGCTGTTCTTTCTCTCTCTAAAAGATGTGCTTTATGTTAATGCTTATATAATGCATATCTCCAGAGGGTCAGCTCCGTGCAATTTAAAAACAAAGGAGTGATATTTATGTGCTCTGTTTAAATAGCTCGTTCAAAAGATTTGGCTCATGCGGGTCTCCATCTGATGTGATCTAGGGCACTTTTACACTTGCCTCATGAGCAGCCGCTTACCTGACGCCCTCGGAGGAAGGCACGTGCCCGTTGGACACACCAGGCTCATGGCGGGGGAATCTCCATCCGCTCCAGAGTGTTGTTTGCGGGGGAAGTAAAGGTGCTTTGGAAGGGTTTTGCCCTGGAGGTTTGTTTAGCATCTCTATGTGCCCTTCACATGGTGCCAAGAGGCTAGTCTCGGGGTTTCCAAGCTGGTGTCTCTTGAAGGGTTCGTGTTGCAGGGGTGGCAGCTGCTGTGAGYGCTCGGGCGCTGCTCCCGTCCTGCCCCTGCCCTGATGTGCACGGACGCGCTCCGGCCGCGAGGCGGAAGCCAGGCAGCCGCTTCTGGAGAGGCTTCTCTCTGTTAATGCAGCCAACTGCCAGGGCTTGTCACTTACTAACTTAGTTTTATTCCTAAGCATGCATTTATTTAGTGTCAAATTCCTCTGGAAGGTTAAATTGCCCCTTTTCTTACCAAACTGCTCCTTCTCTTACCAAATACTGTGGACAGTGTGGTGGCGGGGACACGTGCGGCGCGGGGCTTCCTGCCAGAGGGGCWCTGTGTGAGTGGCAAGGAAGCGTGCGCTCTTCCCGTCCTCTCATTGTGCTGCTTCCCGGGAAGCCACACAGGAGGCGCTTCCTGGATACAGGGGCCCCTATGGCCTTGCAGACGTTGGGGCGATCCAATCACGTCGCTCCCCATATCCCGTCTGGTCTCAGCACAACAGGAAAGCAGCCTGGCTCGCATCCTGTTGTTCCCAGTTAGCCCGACTTCAGGGGAGACCTTGTAGCTCTATCGGAATCCAAAATGAAGGTGAGCTTAAAATATATAGTACGTTTATACATATATATATTTTCTTAAGCAAGTTTCAGCGAAAGTTATTCATCTGTAGTGTTTATCACTAAGCTATAGCGTTTAACCTTCTTAAAATTTCTTCCTCTCCCCCCATTAATAGTTTTATTGATGCATTTCTGGGGTCTGCCTTCCCTGATACCGAGTAGCACCAAACAAGTGCCTGCCTCTCTAGTAAATCTTTTATTTACAAGTGAGATCTCTGTTTCATGACTTTGTTTGTATTTTTAATGTGCTTGTTTAAAAAACACGGCTGCAAGTAGGTACCCAGTGGTGACATTTCCAAATTCTTGGTCCTCCTTCTTCTGTAACAGCTTGATTTGTGTTTTTCTTTTTCCCTCCAGGTTGAGGAATGGTTGGGCTCATGGCCATTATTCCTTAGGAGCCAAATATATGAACTTTGCTGTCTCTTTATCAGTGTCTCTTCTCATATCTGCTTAYCATAAATTATGTCATTAATATAACTTGAATGTGTTTCTGTCTCCTTTGTGTAAAATCAGATAATTCATTGGGTTCTCCTCCTCCAAGCGTGGAGGAACGTTTCAATATTTTCTACAAGTTTCAGGCCACGAAATCTACAGAATTTGTATTTATGCCACTCCCTCCTCCCTCTACCTCCTCCTTAAAGCTTCCAATAGCCGGGAATGGCCTTGGAATCGGCTTTGGCCGGGGGGTAGCTGCCGAACCCCAGCTCTTTGCCCCGATGCCCCGCGCGGCCCTGCGAGCGGCTCCCCGGCTCCAGCCGCCTGCCGAGCTCGTTGCTCTCTGGGACCAAGGGCCAGCGGCGCTTCCCAGCTCACAGGAGCTTCGGAATCCACGTGCGGATGAATTTGGGTGCCTCAAACACCGCGTGAACGTGGGAGAGGCTGTTCCCTGCGCGTGGGGTCTGTTCTGCCTCCGTCTGTGGTGCGGCTGCCTCGGATAAGCTGTGTGCCGATAATCGGCACTGCTGTTGGTTTCAGCCGATCCCCCTTTTTCCCCGCTCTCCCTTCTCTCTCCTTCCTGGCCTGCTCCGATTGCCCTTTCCTGGGTGCTCAGGCTTTCTGACAGTGCCCCTGGGATGGGTCAGGAAAATAAACAGGTCCTTGGTGCGATAAGAGCTGCTCCCCAGCGTGAAACTCAGGCTCTTTCTGTTCCTTAAGTCAGCTGGAACCAGTAGCTGGGTCTTTATTGTCCTCTCTCTAATCTTGCATGAGGGAGTAAATACAGCGATTCCTTTCCGCCTGCAAGATCTACTGCAAGAGCTGCTTTCCCGAGGTTTTGGATGAGGGTTTCCACTTTATTATTTATTATGGGTCGCTTTTAGTGCCTGAAGATSCAGATGTTCAGTGTTGTCATCCAGCTCTCCAAGCAGTGTATTTTCTACAAGACCCTTTGAGGTTTAGATCTCTGTATCATGACTTAAAAATAATAAAAATATAAAATAACTTCTRGCCACTTCCTGCTGCCCCCCCACATCACACAGATTCCAGATATCATTCTCCACTTAACTTCTCCAGTAACTCCAGTTACTCTTTGTAAAATTAATTAGTGTTAAGAAACTCTGTGCCCTGTAGAATGCAAATAGCTTGTACATTAARTTTAGTACTTCTTAAAAGGKTTTTTTTTTTCTTTTTTTAACMATTAAGTGTCATGCCTGCAAACTATTACAGAAAAAGGAGAGTRTACTAAGACTAATGCAGTTCTTACAATGGTATTTCTGAGCCAAAAAAAATCTAGGAGGGAAGTTGAATAAAATGTACTTATCAGAAAAGAGCACTTTCCTATAGTTTAATTGGCACTTGGTATTTTTAGCTCCTGTGTTCTTCATTTTTCCTCACATGCAGCTGTTTCTGCATTTGCTTTCTGATTTTAAAATGATTTTAAAAAATAGTAAAAGAAAAGCCAACCACCAGTTTTAGTGGTCCATAGCAGCTCCTGAAAGGACGGTCACCTAGATCAGGAAACAGCTTCTACAATTCTGGCTTGCATGATAATAATAGTAGAAATGCTTGGATTAAGGGTAATTTATGTGTTTAATGTGTGTTTTTGTTTTTTTGCTTTTAGACTTTCGATGCAAATGATCTTTATCAGGGACAGAATTTCAGCAAGGTTCTCAGCTCTCTAGTTGCTTTAAATAAGGTGACTGCAGGTAAGTAGAATCTGCTCTGTTTTCTGCTGTTTTTCTGAACCTGCGTTAGTACATAACTTACACCTGTTGCTCTGTCCATGGTAAAATTAAGMTCAGTAGCCTTGCAGAAGGCTTCTTCTTGCAGTTAGTTCTGTGCTTGCTGTTTTAAGACTTTGTGGCTTCTCAGGATTCTTTAATCTTTTCCCTTGCAGGAGGAGGTTTTCTGTTTTGTTTTTGCAGTGAAGGAAAAGACAGAGCCTTGAATAGAATCCCAGAATGTTTGAGGTTGGAAGGGGCCTCTAGAGATCATCTAGTCTAGCCCCCTGCTCCAGCAGGGACACCCAGAGCACGGGGCACAGGGCRGCATCCAGGTGGGGTTTGGAGACCTCCAGAGAAGGAGACTCCACAGGCTYCCTGGGCAGCCTGTKCCAGGGCTCTGTTACCCCCACAGGAAAGAAGTTTTCACTTGTGTTCAGACAAAACTTCCTGTGCTTCAGTTCGTGGCCACTGCCTCTTGTCCTGTCACTGACCACCACTGAAAATAGTCTGGCCCCATCCTCTTGACACCCTCCCTTAAGGTATCTATATGCGCTGGCTCTCCAGGTTACAGAGGTTACAGCCTCCCCTCGTACAAGACATGTTCCAGTCCCCTCATCATCTCTGTTGCCCTCTGCTGGACCCTCTCGAGAAGCTCCACGTCCCTCTTATACTGGGGAGCCCAGCACTGCCCCCAGTACTCCAGGTGYGGCCTCACCAGAGCTGAGCAGAGGGGCAGGATCCCCTCCCTTGACCTGCTGGCAACACTCCTCCTGATGCAGCCAGGATCCCATTGGCCTTCTTGGCCACGAGGGCACACTGCTCACTCATGGTTAACTTGGTGTCAACCAGGACTCCCAGGTGCCTTTCTGTGGAGCTGCTTTCCAGCAGGTCAGCCCCTAATCTGTCCTGGTGCCCGGGGTTATTCCTCCCCAGGTGCAGGACCCTGCACTTGTCCTCATTGAACCTYGTGCACTGCTTGCTTTGGTAGCAGCTACAGGCTGTGGTGCTTCTGCCTCTTGTCTCATGAAAGGGAGCTGCAGAAACAGCTCACAGGGGGTAGGTGGCAGTGCTCCCTGGCAGGAAGAGGCTGTGCTAAGCAGGGGAAATTGTTTTGAGTGCAGCAAGGAGTTGTTAATCTTGGTGGCCCTTTTCATCTCCTTGCCATTCCGTGCTGGGATTTTACACTGCCAGCAGCACGTTCCAGTTCCTACTTGTCAGGTAAGAGACTGGAGAGAGCGGAAACTGCTCGGAAATGAACCAGGACTGCAAAGTGCAACGTGGGGAGAGCAGTGAAGCTGATATAAAGAAAAGTCGGTGGTGAATCAGTGTTGTTTGTTTCAACTGTGGTGTTGGAAATATCTTGTCATTTTTATATACTCTGGCACATTATGATCGGGAATTTACGGCTTTTTTTTTTTTTTTTTAATCAGAAAATCTCCCTTAGGGAGTGAGTTTTACAACCAAATTCTTGTTTTTAATGAATTGACATGGAGTAATTCCATTGCTGAAGCTGCTTACACCAGTTAAGGGTGTTGCCTTTCATCTCAGCTGTGCAAATGTAGACCACTTCAGTGCATCTTTAATGTTGCTGCYGTGCACAGGCTGTAGATGTCTCGGAGGGGAGGAGGAGCACGGGGCAGGGAAAGTGTGGCTGTGTTTGGTCCAGACATCCATAGGCAAATATCCCCATCCAAAAGCCACAATTGCAGCTGGCATTGCGAAGAATTCTGCTTTATTCCCCCCTGTGATGGGGGGAGAGGGGGGAACCAAAAATCAAACCCACATGCCAAATGTGTGGCTGCCTCATTCCTGCTAGCAAGCAGGGCTGCATGAATCTTCTTGACTAACTCCCAGACAATTTTCCTTCATTGGGTGACTGCGTAGAAGGCATTTTAGACTGAGTCTCCCTGTCCGATGTCAAAAGATCAGATCTCCATCTGGCTCTGTGAGGATTTCAGGGATGCCCAGACCTYGGGATAGATCTTTCTGCAGCTGAAAAGCCCACAAGCAGTGAGCTCACAGCGCTGGCAGAAGGCTCCACATATATACTCTTACCCCTATATACTCTTAGCAGCTTCTTTAATTTCAGACGATACAGGAGTAAGTTGCCCACGCTTGTTTGTAGGCAGTAAAGGGTAGAGGAATTGGTGTAGGAGCAGTTGAGGAGGTAGCTGGAGAAGAAGGAATGTTATAAGCCATGGAAATCTTTGGGTGGATGGAAAAAGCTGTCTGTGAAAACTATCACACTAATGTGTATCAAGCATGCACGTTCCCTTCTCAGGCAAGACTACTACTTTTTGCTTTTGTTTTTCCTTTCTTCCACAACAGAGGTGATTTTTTTCCTAATAAGAAACACATCAGCTTTTATTTGAAATTTGGGCTCTGCAAGCCTTTTAAGACTTTCAAAGCTCAAAATTAATTTGGAAATATCAGATATTATTAGTAAAAATACTTGCAGCTTGTTTGGAGTAGTGTTTGTTCCCTTTCAGTTGATGTTTCCTTCAGTTCAGCCATGCTCAGTTTTAGCTCAAACTCCGAGAGGGCTCCTGGGTGTCCATGTTAACTTTGTAAAACAGGATTTCAGGAATCAGGACAGACTGGAACAGGATTTTTACGCAGAGTGTTTTGGAAGGTGGAACGCACCATGATGAGTAAACCTGATGCTCTCCCTAGATGAACTGGGTCTGAACCCTGGCTCTGGTGCCCTGTCTGTTCTTCTGCTCAGCTGCACAYAGATGATGTCTCCTTTTAGCAACACGCTCAGCATGGAGATGTTGCGAGTTAATTCTCAAGTCCTGTTGGTTTCCAGTGGTTCTTTTGCTGTGGGCACTCTAGGTTTTTGGTAGCGTGAGCGCTGGTAATCAAGTTGTGACCTACAAATGAAGTCTGTGATCTAGGCTTGTTGTTCTCCCCRCAGTTTGTAAAGGTGCAGTAGTTTATTCTTGCTGCAATGGGCTACAATCTGCAGCATYTATATTAACAGAGTACCCTTTTAGTGCATGTTAGAAAGTGAATTCACAAAGACTGAGCTCTTCTGTAACTTCTGTGTGTAATGGCGTCTATGCAAAATATGTAACTTAATACAGGTAATTCTAATATTCRCCTGGGGAGTGTTTATTGTAAGACTTTTTGAGAGATCACAGTGGCTCAATGAAGAAGTTACCCCTTAGCAAGCTGGTGTGGAGGGGCTGAGGGGGGATGAAGCATCTGCTCCCAGCTCTGCTCTCCGGGGCTGCCTGTCCCGCTCGGCTGCTGCTCYCCTGCAGCTCAGCTGCCCTTACAGCCTCTGCGGCAGCTGGAATAGGTTCTAGGTGAAATGGTTTTCTCTCTTCAGMGTTTATTTGACAGCAGATACATTTTGTTCATCAGTCTCTTTGTGGAATGAAATCTGCGTGTGTCGTTTCCCTTTGATCAGAAATAATGAGGCTTGTGTAATTGCTGTTGCTTTAGCCTCAGAGCAGCTAAGCAGGAAAATGTAGTTGTGTCTGAACCGCGAATATAGGGCAAGTGCTGGAGGCCTAAGGAGCTGCTGGGAAGGAGGATGTGCAGAGGCACGAGGAGCAGGGAAGCAGCTGGGAGGCTTGCACAGCCGGGTGGAAACGCTGGAGCTCGGGGCACGAAGCCTTGCCCTGCCTCGGGGTCTCCTTGGAGCTCCTTGCTTGCCAAGGGATTCCCTTGCATCTGGAAAGCTGAAGGAGCAGTAATGGCTTGGTTTGCTCTTGGGCTAAACGGAGCAGTGCTTGTGCATCGCAACCTGTCACTTCCACAGTGCATTCCCGTGGGAGCATTCCCATTCCCAGGGGTCTGGCCGCGGGAGCTTGGGGCCTCATCTTGACCCCTGCATACAGGGGACCCCTTCTCCCCCCTGTGCCAGTGGCCGGTGCTGGGACCTCCTGCCCAGGCAACACGGATGGACATCCCACGGGAATGGGGGCTTTGGAAGAGAGATGTGGAAGAGAGGGGCAGCTTGGGGAGGTCTGTGTTTTCAAGCAGCCAACTTTCTTTTCTTCTTTATCCCATCCTCACTCCCTTCCCTTCCCCCCAAAAAAAGGCAAAATAGCTTAGTTGGCAAAAAAAGGATGAGCCAGARGAATGTAGGAAAAAAGAGACAGTGGAAAGAATGTTTTAATTGAGAAGGAGATGRAGGGGGGAAGGAATTAAGAAACAGATGTGGCTGGCTTGCCTTCAAGCAAGTTTTATGCATTTGAATTTCTTGGCAACTACTAGAATTGATGCTGGTTGATTACCTTTAAATAGACTGGTAGTGGGTAGGAATAGAGCAATACTCTGCTAGCCCTCCTTTTCTTAAAATGCTCAGATAATTCTTCTGTCTGCATGGGGAAGGAACTGCCAGTGTCTGAGGAGTTCAGATCATTCCACTACTACTTATCTTTTCTATCTTGGAGTGTGGAGCAATGACTGATATCTTGAATCTGCTTCAAGTGCGTGAGTTTTACAGATGTACGTAGAAATTTATCTGTGGATTTCTTGGATGGATGTTTGACTTTATTTTTCCCCTCCAGACATAGGACTGGGAAGTGACTCTGTATGTGCACGGCCCTCATCTCATCGGATAAAGTCTTTTGATTCCCTTGGATCCCAGTCTTTGCACAGTAGAACTTCAAAACTCTTTCAGGGACAGTATCGGAGTTTGGTAAGTTCTGAGGAATGATACATTCATTTCTTTTCTTTTCTTTTAACTAGATCTGTCAGTAAACAATGACTTAGCAGAGTAACTGTTCACCCTGTGTCCCTCATCTCTTCAGTTCAAGTCTGGTGAAGTTCTAGTTTTGCAGTTTTTCTATTTTTTTTTCCAAAATATGCAGTTTTATGAACTTCTAATTATTTTTCTTCTCACTTACCACTCCATCTCATATGCATGTGTGTTGTTGCTCTGCTATTTTTTCAGTTCTTACAATAAGGAGTCACTTTTTTAAAAGGCAAAACTATTATTTTCTCTGTGGACTGTACTGCCTGTGTCAGTGATGAGGAGGGAAGGATAGTCACACAAGGTGGTGCTTGTAATGTTTGCAGTGTAAGCAGTTATTCCTCTTTCTCTTGGAAAGAGTGAACCCTTCTTCAGGTGGCCCTCAGGTAACTGAGCTCTTTGAGCTGCTATTGGGCAGTGCAGGTGAAATGAAAGTTGGGAAATGGGCTGTCTTGAAAGGACAGTGCAGGTCCCTGATGTAAACTCCTTATTGCTTGCATGGGGAAGACTGTTTGGAGCGTGGTGGCACTTTAATGCAGCTTTGGGCTTCCTTAGGTGTGCCTGGATGTGCTTCCTCGGGTAGCAGAGCCAGCACAAGGTCCTGCCCCAGGCTGCTCATTGCAGCTCCCRCTCGCTGTTCACCACCCACTCACCTTTGCTGATTAATCCCAGTTGTGGGATGGCTGAAGGGATCCGAGTTCTAAGGACTTGTGGTATCTGGATGCTCTGTGCAGCCCTGGCAGAATTACAGGGCAGGGATTTGCAGGATGTGAGGGGAAGGGCTAGTGGCCAAGACTGGGAAGCTCTTAGGTTGGCTGTCTTGCTGAAGACATTCAGTTTGCAACTGCTATCAGCAAATTTGTTACTAGGTTTCTTGCGCTGGACAGCCACCCTGGCAGAGTAAACGGGCTGCAGTTGACATCACTGTGCATGTTTTTTTTTTTTTTTTGCAATATTGCAAAATATGCAATATATATATATATTGCAAAATATTGCTCTCCTGTCAAGCAGTCAGCACACAGGAAGGTGTATCACGGAGGAGAGAGAGCAGAGACACCTGTTTGAAACTGCTGCAATATTGTTTGAAGTTAATAATTACTCAGTTAATTGCTAATAATTGCTAAGCAGTTTGTCCTACAGTGTCTTGGAGCATCCTGCACATTGTGAAAGTTGCATTTTGCCCGTATTTCTTTACARCTGCCCAGCTACGATAAATTAGGAGAGGCAGTTAAGCTGACTGGTTGTATGAGCCCAGTGGCCTTGCAGGGTACATGTAGGGCAGATGTGCAACTGAAATTCTGCTACCTGGGTAACTGCCTATTACCTACTTACCAGGTAATTTTCTCAGACACTTCTTAGTTATGGAGATATTGATCTTTTTTTGTAGTAGAGATGGACATATTTGAATACAGATGGATGTAATTTTAATAATTGTGTTCTCTCAATCTCCCTGCAAGGGTCTGTTTTGACATTATTTTCAGGATTCTATGATTATGTTTTAAGCTATCTAGATTCTTAGCATTTTTTTTCCAGCATTAGTGTTTGTCATGACTCTTTTAACATGCTCGACTGGCACAAATGTTCAGAACTGATGTCCAAACACCAAGTTTGATTATGATTATTTTGAAAGACTTGTAAAGTAGCTACCAGTGTTCTGTTGTTCCAATGGATGATTTGTCTTCACATCTACGATGGGGATGAGCCTACGTATATCTGACATGCTGCAAATGTGCCCCTTTACTAACCTTGCAGCAAGTGATTTGTGAGTCTTTATTCAAAATAAATTGCATTAATAGTGGTTTCTTAGGTTTCATAAAAGACTATGGGCCTTTTCCACTGGCATTCCGTTTTGACTTGCACATGCCAGCATGGAATCTTCCAACATGACCTACTGTAGAAAGGTTAAGCTCCAGACTCTTTCATTACTCATTATTTATATGTAACATGACAGTTTTTGACTTAAGCCCAACTCTTTTTTTTTTTCCCCCATCCAGAATCTCTTAGAAAAACTCTAATATAAAGCTGTTGTTTCTTTGTAGTTGCCAAAGGCAGTTTCAGTTTATACTATATATAGAAAATAGTATTTGATTTTTGGAGAGTACGAATTATTCTAATTTTAGCTCTGCTGCTCCCTTCTGATTTGAAGGGGCCATAATAAGGTAGTACRCTTGCTTGACTGATATGAACCTATAGACGTAAATGACAGAAGTACTGGAAGTGGTAAATTGTGCCTTGAAAATGCTCAGAATAAAACATATGTGGAGCGTTCATTGAGGGGTAAAGACTGTTCCCATTTTTGTGAATGCTTTTGTTTTGGTCATGGAATTATTGTTTAAATCTCTAAAATTAAGCTTTTGTTGTTTGTATTTTTACTTACTAGGACATGACAGATAACAGCAACCATCAGTTGGTGGTGAGAGCAAAATTTAATTTTCAACAGACAAATGAAGACGAACTTTCTTTTTCAAAAGGAGATATTATCCACGTTACAAGAGTGGAAGAAGGAGGCTGGTGGGAAGGAACTCTAAATGGCAAAACGGGGTGGTTTCCAAGTAACTACGTACGAGAAATAAAATCAAACGGTGAGTTTTGAAGGAGAGCACATTTGTACAACCCTTTTCTTTGACAGAGGCAGATAGTTGTTACTTCCTTAAAAATTGCATATATACATATTTTTGTAGTTAAGAGGATTGAATTTACTGAGCTTCATTCATAAATATCATCAGTGCTTAGGAGGAACACCTAAGGAGGTGGTTGTTGCTCCTGCACCCAGGTGGCCTATGTGGAGCTCTGGGGCAGGTGGGGGTTAGTGCTGCACACGCAGTGTCCATCCCTGCCTTGCGGTTGGGCTGCATTGATGCCGTTCCTGCAAGGCCAGGTGTCATTGCTGAGGCTGGTGCGTTTTGATTTGGTGCTTCAGAGCTTGGGGAAAAAAACTTTGTTGTGCTAAGTGTGCATGTGGCCAGACATGCAGCCACATAGATAATTGGTTGTTATCGCAAGTTTGGAGGAATAAATCCCAGTCTTAAACTTGTCCTTTCTCTCCTGATTGCATCCTTCTGCTTTCTTGCTTGATTTTTTTTATCTACAGTCACTGTACACTGAATGCTCAGGTTTAACATATCTTTGGTGTCATTTTCAATTAAGTCCTCTTAGACATAGTTGGGAACTAAATACTTAATGTTCTTACATATCTCTCAGATGAGACTTTTCCTAAAAAAAAAAAAAAAGACCGAGTGAACTGCTTGCAGTCTCTAGTTTAACTTTCCCTTCTCACAATGAGAAAAGCTTTCTGGTGAGCATTTCTTTTTCCTTTGCACTAGAACTTTCCTTCTTATCCAGGATTTCAAGCATTTGTAGCTGCTCTTTTTCTTAGTATTTGCTCTACTGATTTGGCAGCATTTCMTTTATCTAGATACTAATTTTAACTTACTTATGCCTTTGTAGGCCTAAAATATGTGTGCTTCACTTGTCTGAAGATGATGGTCAACTATCTCCACCTATATCTAGGTAGAGATAGGAGATGAAATGAAAGCAATACATACTATGAACTTGTTAATATAATCTCTTAATAGCTTTTCTTCCTTATGGATTTATGGATTAGTTTTCCCCCAATTTAGGTATATTATGGAATATTTTTTTACTACTACCAATATGCACTTTATTTGTATTTCATCTAATGACCTGACATTTTTAAATAACTTAAGCTTTGTTTTATTCCAGATCACTGAAGTATTTGTGATTATTTGTTTGACCACACGAATTTACATTTGCATTTCATATTCTTAGTTTGTCACGCTCCTAATTTTTTTAGGAAGAATCATCATTCTTCCAAGCTTTTTTCCTCATAGATTACCCCTTGTGGGGTAGTTATTATCAATATCTTAAGTTTAATGAAGTTTTTTATTGAGGATAGATTTCCTGAGGTTCATTGATCTCACTTTGCTGCTGTTCCTCCTCCTTTACTTGAGATTAACTTCTTGAGTTTAATCCCCGTTTTTTTTTTTGGTTGTTTACATGAAAGTGAATATTTCTGTTCCCAGCTGATACCTCTCTGCTTGATGGTTGTTGCTGGAGGTGCTAGAGGCAGAAACTTTCCTAGTGTTCTCCTATCTCAGCAATAGGAGAGCTGCCACTTTGCTCTGTAGTTGCACTTCACTTTGTACCAGTTGCAAAAGGACAGTGATGTGTCTTCCCTCCTACCGTCAAGTCCTGAAGTTAGGAGGGTGGTTGTTCTTCATAAGAAGTTTTGTCCAGGTAGTCTTTATGGGGTGACAGTCTATGTTGGACTACTGACCTCCTTTTCTTGACTTGCTGCCAGATATAACCCTCTTGTTGAAGTTTTTGCTACTTCAGAAATGCTTTCTGTGCATTCATAGTTGTGGTTTGTGCAAGCGATGAAATGCAGAAGTGCTTTCATCCCCACTCCCCCAGTGTACAAATGAGTTAGTATAACTTAGCATAGCTGCTCTCTTACAGAGAGTAGCTGTGCTTTCCTCTACTTCAGCCTGAAATGCAGCTGGAAGTGCTGGGACTGCTTCTAGTTCGGAATTTGGGGCAGGGAACATGGTGTGTTTCCATTTTTGATGATACGTTATTTCAATAGCCTCTGGGAACTGCTGGGTTTCGTTAAATAAATCTCTTCAGGCTGCTGTAACGTGACTTTGAGAAACTGGACAACAGAAGAAAGGATAGATGCTTGTTATGCATATGTGTATTAATTCTCACCAAATTCATAATTGTTAGGTGTTTAGATGAATGGATCGTTGTTCTCAATTAAAATATTAAAATATACCCTTAATATTGGATAATGGTATGCTTGTAATCTTAATTTGTGCAGTTATCCTGTAGCAGACGGAAAGTCAATGAGAGTAAATTAAGAAAAGTGAAAGCTCTCTTAGAAGGCCAGATGACCATCGGATATTCAAATTAGTGATTTTTTTTGTTTGTTTGTTTAATAAAGCAGATTACCTAACTTTTTCTCTTGGAAATTTTCACAGGAATATGTCACACAATAGATAAGAAAGTTAGCAGCACTTCACCTGTGCCTATGAAAGTACGTTCAGGTGCTTTAACTCAATCTGCCATTTCATATCCATTGTAAAACCAAGACAGCCGAGAGTAGGCCTGAGGGAAAACAGGGCGGGTAGGCCTGAGGGTAAAGATAGGGAGTAGGCCTGAGACTAAAGCCTGCAATGGACTAGAGGTAAACAGTGGGAGTAGGCCTGAGGGCTGAAGAGCGGGAGTAGGCCTGAGGGCTGAAGAG